TATAAAATAATAATAAATAACTTTATCTTCAATTTCGAACATGATTTTTAACCAATTTTGTCATATCACGTGTCATTATCACAAGTACAATTTTTGTGGAAAGATTTTTGAGTAGATTTTTAACTAATTATGTCGCGCTATGTGTCACTATTTGTTTAGAATCATTGATGATAGATTATCGATAATATTTTTAACCAATCATGTCGCGTCACATGTCACTTCTGTTTAGAATCCTTGATGATAGATTTTGATAAGATTTTCAACTAATCGCATGGTGTTACATGGCATTATTTACAATCTCATACTTTCTTTTTTCTTCATATAACCCACCATCCATCCTAAGAAATCACACATAAAAAATTGCTCTGGCTTTCTTTCTTTTTTGTAGGATAAAAATTGCTCTCGGAATTTATTTAACTCCCTGCTTAAGGCAAACTTAAATAGGTTTTGGTGACAATTGGTTTCCCCTTCCTAGAAGAATTTACCTCCAAGTCAAAATAGAAGATCTACATCTAATTGGGAAACAACTTTTTACTTACCTAAGCAGCTTGTGATTTCTACACCTACTGCCTTTTTCTGCTAACAACCCAGCAGGTGTGGGGGCATTTGTGGAGCCAAAAATAATCCCAAAAATCCACAAGGCAACACGTAGACTTTTACTCAAGAAAGACAAGATATTATCTCTTAATTAATGCCTTGGAAATATTTTTTCCTTGTGCATCCTACGGATGACAAAACTTGACCAATGGGAAGCCGCCATGTGTGTAGCATAAAACCTTACACACATGGCCGACCACATCCCACTATTTAAACCCTCATCTCATCAAAATTTGGTAAGCTTTTCGCTATACATAAAACCCTAAACGCTCACTCTTTTCAGAGTTACTAACTTAGGCATCAAAGATCGTTTGGCACCCCCTTCTCCCCACTCGTCGTGGGCGCTTTGGTCTTTGATCGAAAGTGTTGACTGTTTTGTAGATATTTTTTTGGGAGACTTTGGATGCGGTCCTTAGTTATGAACAATCTTTGACTGAAACCTTATTGGTTTTCAATTTTTGATCCAAGTCCCTGAAATTAATTGATAATTTATTTCTATGTACGTTACTATATTTTTTAAATTAAAAATTAAAATTTATAGTTGTTTATAGTAATGAGATTTTAAATAAAAAACCATAATTTGTGGGATTAAAAATATTAAAATATAAATATACTATTGTGTGTGTGTGTGTGTAAACATGGGTACATTCATAAAAATAACCAAAAAATTATTGTATCAAAACATGGGTACATTCTTCAAAATGGGTACATTTAGCAAAAATAAAAATGGGTACAAATAAATAAAAAAATATGGGTACAATACAAATAAAACTTTAAAAAATATGGGCACAAAAAGAATTTAATAAATGGGTACAAATTAAAACTGAAAGGAAAATTGGTACAAATTAAAAAAGGGTTGCAAATTAAAAATGGGTACAAACTAAAAATAAAAATATATGATAAAAAATTTAGCCATAAGTATAAATATACTAATTGTAACATTTTTAATATTAAATGAATATATTTAGAAATAAAAAATATTTTATTATTGAAATAATTAATGATATTATTAATACAAAGGACCTTGATCAAAAATTGAAAAGTAATAAGGTTTTAATCAATAGAGTAGTAAAAATAAGGATGAAAACCTAATTATTCCTATTTTTTTTGTCAAGACTGAAGATGGCGGAAAGTGTACCACAGTGATGATTTTAACTATGTTTCTAAAATTAGATTTTTATTCTTTTCATTTCATGATAGTTGGAGAAGATTGGCTTTTTTTCCCCTCATATTCTTAAGAAGAAAGGAAAGAAAATGTGAGGAAAAAGACCGCAACGGCAAAGAGAAAAGGAAAAGGAGAAGGAAGAAGAGGAAAAAATATAAACTGTTACATCAATCTCATGGTGTATATTAATTAATAGAAAATTTTAAATAAAAGAATGATAAAATATTATATTTAAAATTTACCATGTGACGAGTTTTGACTAGATTGTAGTGTCATCCAGAAATTCAGTTGTATGCCGAGCCCCACACAAACTTTTCTCCTAACATTGAGAGACATAAGATGATAGGACAAGAATCTTGAAATTTAAATTAATCTAACGGCAATCATCAGGAGGATCATGACCCTCGCTATAAGAGGTGAGCAAAAATACACTCCAATTTTAATGGTTGATACTTATCTACCTATAAATATGACATTAGAAGATGGAACAAGCCATGGAGCAGCATGGAGAGAAGAAAACTCAACAAGGAATTCCAGCAGAAAAATCTTCGGCGACAAGAATTGTACAGTCAAATTGCTGTGCAATCTCCAAATTCAGTTTCGTCAACTTCCTCCGGCCACACCACAAATTCAGCAAACCTTTTCCAAATTCATCATCATGCCTGTGAAGAATAATCAAACACCACTCATATGAGCCAGTTTCCTAACCACCAAAGTCAAACACCACATACCATTACAAAAGTTCTTGCGGCATCCGTTTGATCAAGATCAGGCTTCTACGGCCTTGAATCAAACACACATTATGGTATTTCGGACACTTTTGGAGATGGCATCAAGGGATTCATTCTTATAAAGAATTTACCCAGAGACTTATCCATTGCTTTTCAGGAATTTTAGTGTTTATAGGTATGTTGAAGATAAAAGATGGTTACTCATAGTCGTGAAAGAAACTTATCCATTCCAATCCCCAATTTAGTAGGATGATAAAGGAATGAGCTTCCTTTATGTCTAAACCCCTCCAAATTCCATCCAAATAAAAGATCATTCTTTTCTATAGATCAATCCCATCTTAAAGACCGAGTAATACATATTCTGATTCAAAATATCACAGTCGCAAACCATTAATACTGAATACTGAGACTGAATGTGTGGCAACACAAATAACACAAATGTATATGCAGTTAATCCTTACATGTAGCCAAATAGTTTTAGGAAAAACATTAATCTGCATCATTCTACGGTTTGCAATGCATACAACCGGTTTTCAATACATACAGCCACTTCTTGTAGAGACTAAACGCCAATCCCACCACCAGCACATTGTAATAAGGCCGGAACACCTGAAAACACACAGAAATTTCTATGTTATCATTCTGAAGCTGCCTTGTTGGTATGACAGAAATTATCTACCAATTAGCATATGCACTTAGCGACAAACTACGAGTAATGTAATCAAATTTCTTGAGGATCAGCTGATTTCCAATCAGAAAAGCCCTAGCCAATCAAATGAACATCTAATTGATCACTTAACCAAGTCCATCAATCAAGCCTACTGTATTTTTTTCTGTTTAACTAACAAGTGATCACAACAAGAACCCCAATAAACCACGAAACATCCCTCTTTGGTCCTGTTAAAGTCTGCGTTTGTTTCATATAGGTAAAGGACTGGATGTGAAGGGCAAGTAATGTATAGAGGGTCAAACATCTAGTTGCCTTTGTTCTATTAGCTAAGAGTCGACCATAAACATGCACTGCATTCAACGCCTTCACTACGTAACAGTTGAAATTCGACAAGGAAATTAACTAATACAAGAAACCCTAGAAGTCAAAAATTCAATTCATCCAACAAATCAAATACCCTAAAAAACAATCGAATTGGCCCAAATGGAGTAAAAATAATAACCATATCATGGTTACAGATGAAATTGCAGAGATAATATCCAAACATTCGGTCGAAATAATTAAATTCAACCAGGAAATTAACCCATACAATAAACCCTAAAACTTAACAGCCCCAATTCACCAAACCAATAAAAAACCCTAGAAAACAACATAATTGCCCCAAATATCTGAAATTGCAGAGAGATTTCAATCCGAACCTTCAGTTGTAATAGAGCTCGAGGCCCATGCCGTCGTGAATCTCATAGTCCTTGAGGGTGATGTGGTCCTTGTAGACGTTGTACCACTTCTGGATCCGAATCTTGTCGGAGCGGGTGCCCGTCTGAGCCGCCACCAGCTTCTTCAGGTCGCCGATGGTGTCATCCTCGTTGCACTTCACCTTCACCTTCTTCCCCAGACGGTCGTTCAGCACCACCTCGATCATCTTCGATTCTTGGAATTTCAATCGATCGCGCAGAGAGATGTTTGGGAGACTTAAAACACCGCGAATAACGAAAGGATTTTGATATATAGAGCGCTTACAGGGGCTTTATGGTCTTTTTGATTGGCTGGCCGACTAGAAAGTCTACGAGTTTTACCTTTCTTTTCAAAGCCATTTCTTTCTTTGGTTTCTTAATACTAAAATAACGTTGAACCTATTTCTTTGTTCGTTTAATTATGATCGTGAGTCGTGACATGAACTTTCTTATAAAATATCCATAATATCTTGATATTTTCATTAAAATTTTCGTATTTTTAGACTACCGATATTTCCGATATCATCGATATTTTAGACCTTGCTAAGTCACTCATGTATCTTACCATGCAATGTATAAAATGTAAAATATTGTACTAATTCATTATATATAAATGATTATGGTGTGTTTAAACTTCTTTCATTAATTACTACATATTTTCTACACTCATAATGTTTGCCAGCTCGCTATATAATCAACTTAAATCAGTTATATCTATCATGCAATGCATTTTCTTCTATTTTTTTGTGATAAACTAATAAATAATTGACTAAATAAACATCCTGAAAGTTTCAATAAAAATTTCCAAGTTTTTCTTACAATTTCTGTGGTTTTTATTCAATTTTTATCGATATCGATAATATCTCGATATTTTCATCGAAATTTTCGTGTTTTTGGACTACTGATATTTTCGATATCATCCATATTTAATACCTTGATCGTGAGTCGTGACATGAACTTTCTTATAAAAATTTGGCTTTTCTGATATTACTTTGTAATTTTTTGTTCTATTTTATCGACTTTTCTTTTTATTCTACTAAAAGAAGCATAGTGCCCGACCAAAATGCTCAACAAGGAAACATATTCCAAATTTCCAAAAGCAAAGGGTGCAGCAAGAACACATAAACAAGTGTTAAGCCACTAGGCAGCAGCACGCCGCTGATGACTGATGACTAATGACTGATGTGAAAGAAAGCAGACAAACAAAACTCCCATCCATTCCAACCATTTCTTTAATTCCCATCTTCTTCCTCCTCCGACTCTAACTTCATGGTTTCATCGCGATCGCTTTTGTCTCTGTAGAGTGGGTGTGCAGAGAGATTTTATAGAGTTATGTACGTCAGCCGCCCGTTGGTCCATCCGGTGGAGGCCCCGCCCACGACTGACGTGGCGGCCCAGAACGCCCTCAGAGTGAGGATGAAGGACGTCCAAGGCATGCCTGGCACCCCCGGTGGGCTCGCCCTGCGTCTCTGCCAGCTCTGCTTCTCCGCAATCTCTCTCTCCGTCATGGCCTCCACCTCCGATTTTCCCACCGTCACCGCCTTCTGGTAATGCTGGCTTTTGCTGGGTTCGTGATTTTTGCAGTTTTTACATGTTTATTGAGATGGGTTTTGGTTAAAGTTTGAGTCTTTGATGATTTTTGTGTTTGGAATTGGGTTTGGTTTTGCTGGGTGAAATGTAGCTACCTTGTTGCTGCTGTTAGCTTGCAATGTGTGTGGAGTTTGTCAATGGCGATTGTTGATTTGTATGCTCTTTTGGTGGGGCGGAGTTTGCGCAATTGCAAGGCTGTGTGTTTCTTCACCATTGGAGATGGGGTAAGATATGAATTTAACCCTTCAAGTCTTGTTGCATTACTTCTGTTGATTAGCCACTAACTAGTAGAATTTGAGTGTTTAAATCATTGGCAAAATCTGTAGCTAGCACTTAACCGAATGTGACACCGATAGATTCCCCAAACTCGATAGGGGTGCATATTATCACAGGAGCTCCCTGTGGATACTGACCTGCAAAAGTTGATTTGTGGTTAATGCTTTATCTAATTTCACATAGGATTTGAAATTTTGGCACAATATCAGTTGTTTTCGTGCGTTTTCAAACTTACAAACCTAATAAGATTTTGAAGAAAATACACGGATACGGGTGAATTTTATTAATAAACAAAAACAAATAACCTAGTCAGGGGGACGTAGTTAGCCATACCCCTCAGAATGCATACATATACATAAACAAACCAAAATGATAAAAGGATAACCAACTGACAAACAAAACAACAAGATAACAATACAACAAACAAAAGTGCAGTATTTAATACAATGTAAAACTATTTAAATGTTGACGTCCTCGTCTTCAAAGCATCAAAATCATCAGTCACTGATTCGGAATCAATACCTTGTTCAGTAAAAGCGGGTAGAAAGTTGTCCAACTCACAAGTTTAATAACCAAACTAGAGCAACAACACACCACCAGACTAAGCTAGTGATAAATACAGAGTCAGTAGGAATGTCTCTGTGCCTGAATGCTTTTGACTTTTCTGTTTCCTCTCTAAAAATGGGCAGGATCAAAGCCATACTAACCTATACTGACCAATGTAACAACATCACGCCACAATAACTTCTACTTTTTTTATTTTTTGCCTAGAATAAGGGGCTGGGCCAGTCTCATGGCTGGTTCTGTCCCTGGTGAAATAGAAAGGCAGTGATCTGTCCATTCAAATGTTAACTAGCTGCTTTGTTCGTATGTGATTACCCAATTATTTATATACCATTGCTTCGATAGTAGAATTTGTTATTCCAGGGATGCATGAAACACACCATGGGACAACAGATTGAATATAACTTGGATACTGCTAATGTACGACATTACACACATAAACTAAAGACTCCAATGCTGTCACCATAACTTCTATACTACATGAAGAATGACAGCTGAGCTATTTATATATAGAGAAAATCTTAGTCTGTTTTTATAGTTCTACATTTTCTGTCATTGGTTGAGAGGAGAGGCTGCCACTCAAATGAAGCTAAACAGATCACTAACTGAATTTAACAGTAGACCGGCACTGCATAGTCAATCATTTGCATCAACCATGCGCTTTGTTCAGGTGCCATAGTTGCCGCTCTAGATTATTCTTTGGTAGTTGATAGTGTTACCATCCATTGTCTAGTACTACAGCAAAACACCACTTCATCCAAGACCACCAACTAAATAAATTTCTATTAGTTGACTGTCCAATGTTGTGATCTCTTGAATAATCAGGCATCATAGTAGCCATACCTGGTACTTTTCACCTTTCTTGACCACATGTTATAATTCTAGCTGTGGAACTTCTTGATCCCAGCCGAGCTTAATCTCAGACAAGTTTCACAGTCTCAGCTTGTGGCATGAACAGTAGAAACTTTGTGGTTTGTCGATCCCTAACTGCCTCGCTCTGATACCAGAATTTTTAACAAAAACATGGTGAGTCAACAAATTTAGAGACATAACACGCTTCAAATGCACCACTACAATACACACAAGAAACGAAACTTATCCAGGGGCACTCACATTAATCCACATACCTCACTTTCACTCACCATTGTGGTGGTTGTGGTAATGTACCACTGGTCAGACCTAACTGGTAAACCACTCTATCCTCAATATACATATTTCGTGTGTTGTTTTAGGCAAATTTTAAACTAAGTCTTATTAAATGGCCATCTCACCTTTGCCACATTTGACATTGATAGATGACTAGATGTCCCTTCCGGGTTTTGCCATTTGAGATGTTACCTTCATTTCTATGGCAGATAACTTAGGGCTCATTTGGATGTGCTTTTAAAATAATTGAAAGCACTTTTGGTGAAAATGATTTTGGAACCAATCCTTAGTGAAAATGCAAGTAAATCCTGGAAAATCATTTAGAGTTCTTCCTGGAAGAAGCACATAACTGGTGCTTCTTGTAGAAAGCACTTAAAGTGCTTTTGGAACCCAAAAACATTTTCTCTAAAAGCGCTTTCAGCCATTTTAAAAGCACATCCAAACGAGCCCTTAGTATTTCTGTTTTTCATCCATTTGTTAACAAGATGCTTTGTTAATATGTACTTGTGCGTGCAAATATCCATTTTTTGAAAGTTGAAAAGTGAATTTGCTGCATCAGAGGGGCATTAAGTCCCGCTGTTCGAGACCTAAATCTGTCCATCACAAGCTTACAGATATACAAGTGTTTCTTTTTGTGCAGATCACATCCACTCTTACATTTGCTGCCGCATGTGCTTCTGCTGGAATCACTGTCCTCATTGCCAATGATCTTAACAAATGTGGTTTTAACCATTGTAAAAGGTTTGAGACTGCCACAGCTATGGCTTTTATCAGTTGGTTTGCTGTGTCACCAACTTTTCTTTTAAACTTCTGGTCACTGGCTTCACGGTAAAATACGGCTGGGGAGGAATATTCATAAGTGATCAGAGCCTTCTCCTTCCCAACTGTTGGCTTCTTTGGTGCGAAGAGATCTCTGCCACAGCTATGGCAGTGCTTCTACAGGTTATTATGGTTTCCCTTATTTTGTATATAGAAACATTTTGGCAGAGTTTTATTGAAATGACAATAACTTTAAAATGGAGATGTGTATCAGATTTTGTTTTTGTTATGAAATCTTTTTCTGCATTGTCGATCGGTTTCTTGCAATGCGTTATACTGTCGTATGATTTCTAAAACCTAGCAAGTGCCTGAGAGATACAAAATGCTGTTTGTTTGATCTATTCATGTTAAACTTGCTTTAAAACTTCCTAGGGCTCTATGTATGCACTGAAAGCAACTTTAGAAAAACTGCAGGCAACTGTTGGTACCGGATCGAGATGCCCTAGTACATTCCACGATAAACGAAACTAATATACTCTTTTCTTCGTTCCCGCTTCTTTTCCTCATCATTTGATGCCTGGGAAAGGAAGAGAAGGGTTCTAGGTTGCATAAAAGTTTCCTGAGAACTATTTGGTGAAAGTTTTGTGGATAATCATGTAATTAGTTAAAGCTTCTACGACTGGTGTTGAAAACTGGATTAACAGTTGGTGTTTTCTCAGTTTTTCTCATGGAATTAAGGGTTGAAATGCAACAGGTGCGATGGAAGACAAGTTGGCAAAATACAACCATTAGCTTTCGCTTCAATTGATAAAGTAATCATAATTTGTGAATTGCATGTTGAAGCCGAATTTTTATGGTTTATGGAAGCTTTTTTAGGTTAAGAACCAAACTATTCTGCTTCCCTCTCAAATTGGTCATTGTGGCAGATTGTTGAGAATTCACCCCACATTGCATGGTTTTATAAGTAGTTGGGTTATAGTCTCGCTTTCATACCTAGAGACATTGTTTTCTTCTCGTCTCGAAGAGGATTTGAGATCCCTAGTGTAAAATGTCAAGATCTTTCTCGTGCTTTTAGAGTATTTTGAGGGACTCTCGGTTTGCTCTTTCGTCGGTTTATAAGTTAGTCATGATTTCTTAAATCTTCTATTGCCGTTACCAATTGTCTGTGACTATTGTTCTACGCCACCCTTCGCAAAAAGAGAGAAGATACCGTTATATGGCTAGGCGTTTCTTCTTTTTTAACACTTTCGAATGCTAATCTCGTGTTAATCACACACAAAAATGGAGAGATAGGCTAATGTAAGAGTTAAAACACTTACCAAAAAGAAAAAAATATATATACTTAGAAAAATGCATCTTCGTCACCAATTACAACTATATTTCTTGAACTTCTTTTTTTTTTTGGACAAAATTTTTTGAACAGCATAGCCCACGTCTTTCTTATTCATCAACCATCACCGGTAAGATTTTCTCGTTGCACAACTTAACTCATAGGGCATAGGGTATCAAAATATGATATATATATATATATATATATATATGTATGTATGTATGTATGGGCTTAATGTACTTTTAAGAATAATTTAGGACATGGAGTTAGTTATTGACCTAAAGAACGCTTCCATAAAGCAAGGGAAATTGGTTTCAGCATGGAATTCATCAACTATGATTACTTTATCCTTTTGAAACCATCGATTGTGTATTGCCAACCGACTTGTCTTCTTTCACACCTATTGGATTACCCTCAAATCCATGAAAAAAAACCATTTCCTTTGTCATTTTTCAACATTAATCATAGATTCTTTAACTGATTACATGATTATCCACATCAAAACTCTCAATAAAGTAGTTCTAAAAACGCTCTAACAAAATGTGAATATACGTTATCTATGAGAAAGAGCAGAGGAAAGGACAAAAAGAGGTATATATGCATCTAGGGGATTTACCCCTTCATGTTATTTTCTTCAAGTGCCATAGTTACTGCTTTCGTAGTTGATATTGTTATCATCCTAAACCCTAAACCTATAACAAAACTAACTTACCCTCAACACGGATATTGGGCCTGGAAAATGAGTTGTGTTTGTCGTGTTTCGTGTAACATCTGTTATTTGAACGGGTTGTATCGTGTCACACCCATTATTTTAATAGGTCGAGTCACTTTACCCAACAGATAAAATGACCCGTTAAGAAAAATATTTTTTTTTTCTTAAATTTGCACATACGACATTGTCACATAAATATTACTTTAAAACATAAAAACACATTTGTCGTTAAATGCTACATCTACACTCCAAAATAAGAGTCTAATAAAAAAGCACCAATACACTAATAGCCTACTACAAAATATCAAATGTGCAAGGATATGCAAAATGAAGGAGTTTTTCTTTTTAAGATTGTGAAGCCTTTATCAAAAGTTAAAACCTTGCCAATGAAACTCAAAGCTTGCATTTTATTCCTTTTACAAAATCCTTCAATTTTCATCGATCATCATGGGAAAATTGTTTTAAAACTTTGGCTTGATCTATTGCCTTCAAGAGTTATGTTGATAATGTTTTCAGTAAGGTTTTCCACATCAGAACTCTCTTTCGCATAAACTAAGTGTAGAAAAACCAAACATTATAAATCATTCAAATTATGAGAAGTTTACCAAAATAATTATGAAAAAAAATAAAATAAAACAATAGTACTATACCATATAAAAATATATTACCTCATTTTCTAAATTTAATTTAATATATATATATATAATTATTATAATTTTTTAGAGTTATAAAATTATTAAATTAATATTTTGCTTATCGTGTATCGGGTTACCTACATGTGCACCATGACCAACCCGTTATCTTAACAAGTGCTTATTGGGTTACCTGATAACGACCCAATTCGTTATCGTGTCGACTTTATAACTTGTTAATTTCGTGTCAGGTTAACAGACCGTGTCAGAAATTGCCAAGCCTAGTTGATATACCCCTCTCTTTCATTTCCTCCGCTCTTTCTCACAAATAATGTATATCTCTATTGTAGGAAGATTTCTTTAGAACTACTTTAGTGAGAATTTTGATGCAAATAATCATGTAATCAGTTCTAGCGTCTATGATTAGTGTGAAAAATGACAAATGGTGGTTGGTCTTTGTTCAGGGAATTGAGGGTTGAAAAGCATATTGTGTGAAAAAAGACAAGTGGATTGGCAAAAAACAGTTAGTAGCTTTTCTTTCAAAAGGATAAAGTAATAACAATACTAGGAATTCCACGTTGAAACCGATTTTCCATGGTTTATGGAAGCATTTTTTAGGTTAAGGACCAAATAATTATGCTTTCATCTCCTAAATTATTCTTTAAAAAAAAGTACATTATGGCCATACATACATTGTTCTAAAAATTTCCACCTAAGGCCACTTAGGTCCCGCCTAGGTGCTAGGCAGCTGGCCACCGCCCCGATTAATGCTTAAGTCTTTGAAAATTAAGAAAGGGTGCCTAGATCTGTTGAGGCACCTACCTAAACCGCCTAGGAACCTGCCTAACCCGCCCAAACCCACCTAAATACCTGCCTAGGTCGCGACCCACTTAGACAGAAAATAGATAACTTTAATTTTACATTTTATTTTTTTCAATAAATTATAAGAGACTTGTCGCTTACTTAAATTAACACACATTATATCTTTGTTCCCCATGTTTTCATTATGTTCCAATACTTCATAATATATACGTCATTTTATTTTATAGTTTATGATGAAATTATATATATTTTAAGTATAAGCAGACACTTATTTACACGAAATATAATAGATTTACTTAAATTCGCCTAATCCACCTGGGCACTAGGCCCCAGCCAGCCGTCCGACTAGCGCCAAACGTCTTTTAGAACCTTGCATACATATATATTAGATTTCGACACCATACATTAAGTTGTGCAATGAGAAAATCTCGTGGGCGACGGTTGATGAATAAGAACAACGTACGTTAACTTGTTCAAGAAATATAATTATAACCGGTAACGGACTGCATTTTTCTAAGAAGATGTATATCTTTTCTTTTTGGTAAGTGTTTAACTCTTACGTTAGCCTATATATCAACTTCCGTGTGTGATAAGCACGAGATTAACATTCGAAAGTGTAAGAGAGAAGAAACGGCAGGCCAGATAACGGTATCTCCTCCTTTTTACGAGTGGCGGCGTTGAGCTACAAGGTTTAAGAAACCCATGACTAACTTGCTCTTTGAGCACCTTGACCATAGCTATATATAGGTTTCAACCCTTGCTGTTTTCTTGAACAATTTGTCCCAAAGAGAGAAGGGTTGGAGAGACCATGTCTAATAAGGAAGTTGAGGAGGAAAGAAGGCTATATCAGTGTGCAAGGACATATGAAAAAATAGTAAAACAGGTAGTGTATGCAATGTAATCAAAATTTAACCTTGTTAGTAAATCAGTATTAGTCAGATAATTACCACTTCGGGCATCCTTCTTTTTTTTCCTTGGAAAGATGGGTTTGTTCCATTTTTATACATACTAGACCGAAGTTTTGATTACGATTAATCTTCTGTTTAATCTCTGTTCTTCAGTGTGATGAGCTGATTGGGATGATGGACACCGGGAGCAAACTGCCTAAGCGACGAAAGGTATCTTCCATAAGATCTCTTGGCTAATTTCTATTAGTTTATCTTCTAAATCTTAATTATGTGCATGCTAATATGCAATGCGATTAAGTTCTTGTTCTTCTTTGGTTTCATGCATGACAGAATTCTACGACCGCTCCTGCCCCAGCAAGTCAACAGGAGGACAATGAAGTGTTAGTGCAGACAATAACAAGATTTCTCCATGACCTGAGAACTAACCCTGCAGAACCCGAGAGCTCCACAACCCCGGGAGATCGAAACTAATTCTCTTCATGTAGGGAATGATTGCAGCAGACTAGCAGAGAAGCAATTATCTTTAGTAATAATAAGTGGCTAATTACTAAGTGTGAATGCTTGAATATCTAGTACAGCATGGTAAACATGTAACGGCTACACATTTCTTGGAAGTGCATCAGATTTTATAGTTGATCCCGACAAAACTCTTTATCCAGTTTTTATTTTTTCAGATATGTCTTAAAAAAGACAAAAAACCAAAACAAATGGGAAAACTACCATTAGTATATAACAATAATATAACTTTGAAATAAAGTCGTATGAAGTTACGAACAGACACCCAAACCTCCAGGATTTCACATCTTTCAATTAAAGCAGTCGTTACCCACATATACCTCAGTTTCCCAGAAACCAGCATGAATTAAGAACTGTAAGGGGGCACATGCATCTCGTCCAAAAATGTCTTTG